TGTCTGTTTCACTTTATTGAGTATAAACTTGCACTGTGCTGTGTTTGCAGGAGTCTGACCTGGTGCTGAGCTGTTTCTCTTTCTCCAGTACAGGACGAGTGTCAGTGACAGGATGAGCAGAGCGCTCAGGCTCAGGCCGACGTACAGCGCCACATCTGCAACAACAACAACAACTCACATCACATCAAATGATTTCTCCAGGTCACATTTAGAACATTTACAAAGTGTTTTAAGAGGTGGACTGACACACAAAAGGAGAAAAGTCACAGTTCACATGACTTATGTCCCTGTAGAACATGTTGTCTTAGTATTTGACTGTCCTTCAGTGTCTCTGATCCCTCGATTGTGCAGGTTCCTGTGGTTTTAATTTCATATTTAAACAGACTTTGGTCCTCAGAAATTGAATTTGTCGACTGGACAAAAGTTTATTTGGTTGATTACAGTTCGCAGCTCATCCAAGCTGAGAATCAGAACCCAGGAGAAAGGTGTAACTGTTCCTTACATGGCTGGTGTTTCTGAAAAAATACAGAAGATTTTTAGACAACATGAAATCCCAGTGTATTTCAAGCCTACAAACACTAAGACAGAAACTGGTCCACACAAACGACAAAAACACCGACACAAAGAAATGTGGTCTACTCCATTCAGTGTAGTGAAGAGTGCAGTGACACTGGAGAAACTAAACAGACACTTCACAAGACGATGAACCAACACAGACGAGAGCAGCACAGGACCTCAGTCTGCTGTACATCTCCACCTAAAAGGACGGGAGCAGCTCCGTGGGCTACAACTGTCACATTTCGGCATCGGTCTTGTGGTCCGCAGAGGCTAGTTCAAAGGCTGTGACGTGATCGCGACGTCATCGTTTTCCAAAAGCTACGGTTTGTTTGTCCACATGACAACACAACGCCGGCGTGCTCAGATTTCTCCACCCTGGAACCCGTTCTCAAAACGCACTGTTTTCGTCCAAAATGCCGACTCCGTGTGGACGAAAGGAATACAAACTTCACTGTTTCGACCAAAAAACTTTGTGTGGACGGGCCTCGGTGCAGTTCAATAGCCGAGCTACAAACAGAAACTGTAAACAAGTGTGTGGTAGTTTCAGAGTAGTTTCAGAGTAGTTTCAGAGTAGTTTCAGAGTAGTTTCAGAGTAGTTTCAGAGTAGTTATCTCCTCCTTCAGGCAGACATAAGGAAGTGTCCACCAGCATCTGACCAGAACTGAAGAAGCTTGGATGAGCTGAGAAACGTCTTTGACCAAAATAAACTCCAGTTGACAAATTGAATTTCTCCTGCAGGTGCAGGACTGGTACCACAGGACACAACTGATGTCGTCAACATTCAGCATGAACATGAGCTGCACTGCTCTGTCTGAAGTTCTGTCACTCCAGTCAGACTGTAGAATCTTTTAGCCTTAACCAGCAGTTTTTCAGGCGTTTGCTTTTGTTGTTTTGTAGTTTGTGAGTAAACTGTGTACCAGACGATGAGGTGTGGTCCTGCTGAGCTTCAGATGCTCTGAGCTCCTCGGCGTCTCCAAGAGCAGATCTGGAACTCTGAGCTGGAGACAAAAAACATGAGAATTATACAAAGATGTTCATGGTTTGTGCTTGTTTTTTATTGGCATTGTGTGTCCTGTTTTCTGGTCACACTCACACACACCACACACACTCACGTCACACGTCACACACTTCACACACACTCACACACACACACACACACACACTCACCTATTACCAGATAATAAAAGTGTAATGAATGTGTAATAATTGTAACTAATAACCGTGTAATAACTGTTATGACTACTATGTGTAATTAGCAAGGTTGAATATCAGAAGATCCTAAGTAAGGCTACTGGAGGGCAGGGGCAGTAAACTGAGACATGGGATTAGTTGAAAAATGAATAATGTGTGTTATACAGGGAAAAGGTGAGATAACAAAATATACAACAGCTGCAGCGAACAAAAATCAAGCAACTCAATCAATTCAATGTCCTTGTGAACCGGGTCTGTTTGCCCAGGGTGGAAAACGGAGTCCAAGCTACTTCAGAGTCCAGTATTAATTATTTTGAGGGGGTATGATGTCCATTAAGCGCAGTTGATTGTACAGTCAAGCAGTGGAGGTAGCTGGAGGAGACAGAGGACAGGTGGTTCGCTTCCTACCAGACCGAAACTCTCAAAAGGACAGTTCCTCGCTCGCCATCAAATTAAACCCAAGTTTGGGCACGTGGCCTGTGTGCACATTAAGGCAGGCCTCTTAGAACATAATGTTTACAGTTAGCATTAGCATTAACATTACAAGAGTTCATAAATCACAATCTGTGACAAGACAAACCGATCACTTGGAGCACATGTTAGCATTAGCATGCTAGCTGTTAGCATGCTAATGCTAAGCTAACTAGCATTGGCATGGGCTACACGAGGCCCTGACAAAATGTCTGACCTTCGCATTAGCATTAGCATGCTAGCCCTAGCATTAGCACCACCATGAAAAGCCAACAAGAACAAAGTCATTAAATAAATCAATAAATTGGTTTCAGTTCTAATTTACCAGTTCAGTTTTGTTTCAGTGTATTGAAAGCACACGTGACAATGTCGCACAACAGCTCTGGTTGTAAAAAGGTGTGAATGGTGAAGTTAAAAATGGGAAACATGAGAATTTGAAATGAAAAAGTGTCGATGTTCTGACCTTCAGGCTCTGTCCCCTGATCCTCTCCCACAACTAACGAGAGACAAGACAGGGACCTTATTTACTCTGACTGGTGACGTGTGATTGGATAATTGGTGAAGTGGGCGGGGTGATGGGTGGTGACAAGTCATGTGGAGAGGGGGAAAACCTGGGTTGGATCTGGATTAGGGGATTGAATTCTACCCTGGTTACACACACAAACACACCCACATCACACATACACACACACACACACACACACACACACACATTCACACACAAACACACCACATTACACACATACACACACACACACACACACACACACACACTACACATACACACACACACATTACACATACACACACACACACCCACACACACACACACACACACACACACACACACACACACACACATTACACATACACACACAAACACACATATTACACACACATTACACACACACTCACACAAATTACACACACACACATTACACACACATTACACACACACATTACACAGACACACACACATTACACACACACACACAAATTACACACACACATTACACACACATTACACACACACACACTGCACACTACACACACACACACACACACACATACACATTACACACACATTACACACATACATTACACACACACACACATTACAAACACACACACAAATTACACACACACATTACACACACACACACATTACATACACATTACACACACATTACACACACATTACACACATACATTACACACACACACAACATTACACACACACATTACACACACATTACACACACACTACACACACATTACACACACACACACACATTACACACACACACACACACACACACACATTACACACACACACATTACACACACACACACACACTACACACACATTACACACACACATTACACACACACACACACATTACACACACACACACACACACACATTACACACACACACACACACACATTACACACATTACACACACACACACACACACACACATTACACACACACATTACACACACATACACACACACACACACACACACACACATTACACACACACATTACACACACACACATTACACACACACACACACACACACACACACACACACACACACACACACACATCACACACACATTACACACGACCAAAATTTACCACTGGTGACGTAAACTGCCTCTTTTTTGTTTTCTCTCTCTTGCCTCTCAGGGCTTCCGTACTTTTACTTGAGTCATTTTTTGAGTGACTACTTTGTGCTTTTACTTGAGTAAGACGATTTTAAAGTAACACTGCTCTGCTTTGGCTGTGACTTCTCTACCCACGTCTGAACACGACATAAACAGAGGAAACCAAACTTACCAAGAAGCAGCAGTGAGACGGTGTGGAGCCTCATGTTCACACTTTCATTTGACAGTAAATCAGGTCTGTGTCTCTCGAGCTCCTGTCTTAAATATCTGTCCGCACAAAAGTAAAAACAATCTTCTTCCTTCCTCTTTTTTGCACTCGGACTTTTCTCGAAGGCAACCCCACCCCCTGTCAACTCGACTGAACCCAACAGAATATTTTCCCTTAAAAAATTGTTTGGGAAAATACAGTAGCATTAAAAAAGTAGTAGTAATAGTTCTAAGAGGCACTCAAAGTCGACTTACAACAAAAGATCATGAAGAGCAGGGGCCCGAGAACAGACCCCTGGGGAACACCATCCTCGGGTTAGGTGTTACGACCCAGCTCGTTGGGGTCAGGGAAGTAACAAACAAACCAAGATGTTAATTGGAATAAATTAAATAAGGTTTAATTAACAGGGTTGTAACAGGTAAATTAACAAAATGGACAAAAATGTATCGAATTTTCCGCACTATATGTTTTTAACTGATCGATTCCAGTTGTCATTTTTGGGAGAACACGCTTAATGGTTTTTTGAAGATTCCTAACAATACAGCACACGGAAACAAACACGTCAGATCATTTCCAGCTCTAATAAACTTACAGGAGGCTCCCAACAAATGTGGAGAATCTGCAGAGATACTATCAGTGAACAGAGAAGGATCTGCAATCACCTCTGTCAGATTCTGGACGCACCAGGTCGTCTCAGTCGAGTCAGACGGATCTGGACGAGACCTGGAGGACCAGACGACGGTGCGACGACTTTGTGGAAGGAGGAGCTGAAGAAAATGCGTGGCGTGAAAACTTCCGTACGTATTCAACACACTTCAGCGTCACCGTATGCACGCAGATTTCCTCCCGTATTTTTGGACAGAAATAGACTTTCCCAATCCAGTTTTCAAGGGAAAATATTCTGTTTGGTTCAGTCGAGGCCAGGGGGTGGGGTTGCCTTCAAGAAGAGTCCGAGTGTGAAAAAGAGGAAGGAAGAAGATTGTTTTTACTTTCGTGCGGACAGATATTTAAGACTCTGGAGACACACACGTGATCTGATTTACTGTCAAATGAAAGTGTGAACATGAGGCTCCACACCGTCTCACTGCTGCTTCTTGGTAAGTTTCCTCTCGTCTGTTTATGTCGTGTTCAGAGGAGGGTGGAGAAGTCACAGCCAGAGCAGAGCAGTGTTACTTTAAAATCATCTTACTCAAGTAAAAGTACGGAAGCACTGAGAAGCAAGAGAGAGAAAACAAAAAAGGGGCAGGTCATTTGGGCTCTATTTTCTAAGTGTTTTTTTTTTTTTTTTTACCAATTAAAAAAAAAAAAAAAAAAAAAAAAATCTAAAAAAAACCTACAATCTACATTTTTTTCTACTATTTTTTTTTTTTTTTAAACATTTTTTCTCTTGTGTTTTTTTTTTTTTTTTGTCACTGTTGATGTGGTTGATGAAAAAAAAAAAGCACAAAATAGTCACTCAAAAATGACTCAAGTAAAAGTACGGAAGCCCAGAGAGGCAAGAGAGAGAGAGAAAAAAAAGAGGCAAGTCATTTGGGCTCTATTTTCTAAGTGTTTTTTTTTTTTTTTTTTTTTAACCAATTCAAAAAAAAAAAAAAAAAAAAAAAATCTAAAAAATACTACAATCTACATTTTTTTTTCTACATTTAAAAAAAAAAATTTCTCTTGTGTTTTTTTTTTTTTTTTTAGTCACTGTTGATGTGGCTGATGAAAAAACAAAAAAGAGGCAGGTCATTTGGGCCCTATTTTCTAGGTGTTTTTTTTTTCACCAACTCAAAAAATAAATAATTTAAATTTTTTTTCAAAAAAAAAAAAAAAAAAAAAAAAAATTAAACTACAATCTACATTTTTTCTACAATTTTTTTTCAAATTATTATTATTTTTTTCTCATGTGTTTTTTTTTGTCACTGTTGATGTGGCTGATGAAGAAAAAAGCACAAAATAGTCAAGTCTAAAACTAAATGTTTTAGACCTGGTTTAGTCCTTGTTTAGTCCTGATTTAGACCTGGTTTTAGACCTGGTTTAGACCTGGTTTAGACCTTGTTTAGATCTGGTTTTAGTCCTGGTTTAGATCTGGTTTGGACCTGGTTTTGACCTTGTTTAGACTTGGTTTTAGACCTGGTTTGGAATCTGGTTTTAGACATGGAAAATACTGCCGTGTAATCCATTTATTTCAACCAAGTAACTGTAATCCAATTACCACTCACTGAAACAGTAACTGTAACCGAATACAGTTACTCATCAATTTGTACTCTGATTACATAACTCCGGTACATGTAATCTGTTACTCCCCAACACTGAAACCAGTCTTTGTTTCTCTACAGCAAATCAAGTAATCCAAAGTATTCAGATTACATTACTCACTTTAAGTAATTAAATGGATTCTGTTACAAACTACATTCTGGTGTGTGTAATCTGTAATCTGTAGGGGATTACATTTTAAAAGTCACCTTCCCAACGCTGATTATTATTTTGTGTTGATCTCTTGGGACAGCGCTTTGTTGTGGAGGTCCGTCCACCGCAGCAGTGAAAGTTTTGGAAGTGAAAGAAGGAGAAGATCTCAACTTCAAATGTCCATTTTACACATCTGGGCACTGGAGGATCTTCTGTAAAAGTCCCTGTGAATCAGGTGTAGATTATTTGGTTTCAACTTTCATAGACCTCAGAACGAGAGGCAGATACAGTATTGAATATGAGAAGCGTCCTTCGTTTCCAGATCTGATGCACGTGACCATCAGAAACGTGCAGAAATCTGACGCCGGATTATACAGATGTGGTCTGGTAACATTTGCAGAAGGGAACAATCAGTATAAATTTGTGGACGTTGACATTTACGTCACCAGTGGTAAGTTTTGTGTTTTTATCATATCATTCATGGATTCCTCACCTAAAATTGTTGTATTGTTTGTTTATCTCCATGGAGACTGGTGAAGCAGGTGGCAAACCCTCCACTAGAGAACACACACTGCACCTTTAATCACACAATGCCAATTAAAAACGAGCACAAACCATGAACGTCTTTGTATAATTCTCATGTTTTTTTGTCTCCAGCTCAGAGTTCCGGCTCTGCTCTTGGAGACGTCGAGGAGCCCAGAGCATCTGAAGATCAGCAGGACCACACCTCATCGTCTGGTACACACACTTTACTCACAAACGACACAACCACAACAAAAAACAACAAAAGCAAACACTGAAAAACTGCTGGTTAAGGCTAAAAGTATCTACAGTGTGACTGGAGTGACAGAGCTTCAGACAGAGCAGTGCAGCTCATGTTGACGACATCAGTTGTGTCCTGTGGTACCAGCCCTGCATCTGCTCCAACAGCAAAGGACAAATTCAATTTGTCAACAGGACAAAAGTTTATTTTGGTCAAAGACGTTTCTCAGCTCCTCCAAGCTTCTTCTTCAGTTCTGGTCAGACGCTGGTGGACACTTCCTTATGTCTGCCTGAAGGAGGAGCTAACTACACTGAAACTACTCTGAAACTAAGGCTACGTTCAGACTGCAGGGCTTAACGCTCAATTCAAATTTTTTTGTGAAATCTCATTTTTTCAATTCAGAGCAAATACTGAGGGAGCTCAGAGAACCAGCTTCAAAGAAAATGGTGAAACGTCCAAGGAGACAGTGTCTCATAAACCTGAGTTAAGTCTGGTGTCCACTGCAGCTTTTTTGTCTTTACAACATTTGGGCGTCACTACACAACATGAAGAATTTCAATAGAAAACAACACACATTCACACTGTGTGACGGGTCTCAGCATGTACGACCAAAGTTTGCAGCCGAGTTTATGAACGACCAACACAGTTTGATCTTTGTGTCTGTGTCACTGTCAGACCTGTGAGCCACGATTTTGAGCTACAACTCCACATTTTCCCCAAAATCAAAGATCTTTTGTCACGGCCAAAATGGTGCAGTTGGACCCAACTTAGTTTCATCGACTAAATATTTAGTTATATTGTCACTGACTAAAAAAAACAAATAAAACATCAGAATGACTAAAACTATGAGTAAATTGACATGGCCGACATGGTGTGGAGAAATCATTTGATGTGATGTGAGTTGTTGTTGTTGTTGCAGATGTGGCGCTGTACGTGGGCCTGAGCCTGAGCGCTCTGCTCATCCTGTCACTGACACTCGTCCTGTACTGGAGAAAGAGAAACAGCTCAGCACCAGGTCAGACTCCTGCAAACACAGCACAGTGCAAGTTTATACTTGAAAAAGTATAATACACATATTTATTCATCCAGGAGTGGATCATAGTAACAGATGGAACATGTTAGTAGAAGTCTTTATAACTCTATGTTTGTATGTTCACACAGAATCTGCCCAGACTCCAGGATCTGCTCAGATACTGGAGGTGAGGATTCTTCGATACATGTGAACCAAATTTCAGACTTCTGGTCATCGTGTAATTCACACTGGGAAGGATCCTCTGAAAAAGAGAACATCAAACCTCCATGTTTGTTTTCCCAGTGGGATGTGTCTATTGTCAAAGTCGATCTTTTCAAGTCTTTTGAACCATATCACTTTTGTTTCTGGTTCTGATATTGTCATGTTTTAGTTTTGGGATTCGGACATCGTAATTGTTGTGGTTGTTGGATCCTAACAGTGGAAAAAGGCTCATGAAATGGGCTTCGGAAGTTTGCAAATCTGTGTGACTCAAACCTCTGTTCAAACTGTTTCTCTTCCCAACAGAATTGAAAAATAGTGAAAGGTGAAGGCGATGGGCAGGATTGATCCACAGGAAGAACCAAAAAGAAACA